TTCAAACCCAGCCCCCCGGGTAAGCGTGGTACCCACATACGGACCCGCCAAAGTTCCTTTCGTGTAAATTGATAACTCAAGTACCTGAGAAACTAAAGAAATGCAACTTTAAGAGGATATACCCCGTCCACCTAAGTTTCATTCAGCCCCAACCCAGCTCTCAGGTATGCCTGTTAAACGTGCACGGGCCCGTGAAAATTTTGTTCCAGTAAGTTGCTAACTCAGGCGCCAGAGAAGCTAGAAAGTTGAAATTTTAAAGGGAATGTTTTCTGACAGTTCTGGTGGCCAGTCTTAACCATGCAAAAAACGCATCTTCGCACGGGCAAGCCGCGCGTTGGCCAATTTTTTAAGGTTGAGGACCGGAGGAATACATCAACCTCCAGCGCAAGGTGCTTTATTGCTGACCGAATAAAACTGAAGCATGGCTTACATTGTTATTTGAAATAGAATATTTTGGGCACACAAGAAAATTGTTGCAGCTGCACAAATTACTTGATGCGTTTGAAGAAGAGGATCATTGCAGTGGTACCATCATCACAGTTTATAATCTGCTTTCCATGTTTATCCGTTATAGTGCTGTGTTCAATCCTAGCCAGCTCCTCGTATCCTTTTTTACGGAGCAGTTCCTGGTTTGCTAGCGATGACGCTTCGCTCACAAGGCCATCGATTCCCCTTTCCTGAACATTCATTACTTTCGAAGAAATCTTTGGAATTGACTTCTACGAGCCGGTTTCTTAATTATAATTTATATGCTGCCGTGTATGATACAGTTTTACCATCGACTTTCTGAAACTGGTTTTCAAAAATTCCAGCTTTTTAACGTATCTCCTTCCGAGTCTGGCTAAGTCGGGCAGAAAAACGTACTCGCACAGGACCTGACTTCGTAGCGCTAAATTTCGCGAAGCTGCATAGAAAAGAAGCATTTTTTCAGCCATGCAAGCTGATGCAAAACTGCTTGAATTGAGTGAATGAATTAAATAAGATTTTTTTTTTCTGAAGCTGTAAAAAAAACAGGTTGAGCAACCAACTCTTAATTTATGTTCGTCCAGATCCATTTCGCTCATTGCAGCTGCGATTCCACGCCGGCGATAATCTTTATGCACAATCGCTAATTCCCTTCCTATTACCTCATTTACGCTGTTTGGCACTATTTGCCAAAACTTGCTTTTCAATATGTCGCACATTTTGCCTGCAAAAGAAAATGTATATTGAAATTCTGAACAGATCGGCCTGAAAAGCAAACCCAGGATGCAACCTACCAGGCTTGCTGGTGCCGTCATGCGTTTTTGCGCGAAACTTGAAACAGTCAGGTCATTAAGTGTATGAATAACTGTTGCTTTACATTCAACTTGTGCACTCGTTGCCATTACTCACCGCAAATTTTGCATAAAGGACCCAAGCTGGAACGTACCAGGCGAGCCGGTGCGATCATGCGTTTTTGCATCAAACTTTGAAATATCGTCTCTTATAGAGGGAGAATAGGAAAGAAAGAAGGGGATTCCACATTATGCCATCATTTAGGTGAGGACGGGGTTTGATCATTTGCGTGAATTGACGAATTAACGGCTCATCGTCACCCTGCACATTGACCAAGACAACTTCAACTTCCAAGCTTCAACTTGTATCGAAATGAGATGTATCGACGTTGAAAGCGGTGATACATTTCCCCCTCTTCTCCCCTTATCCCCGCCCTGGACAAGCATCTTTTTGAAGCGATGATATTGGGCTGCAGTATACGGTACAATTACAAAGCGGCATTTTGTGATTACGTTAAGGTGCGGTATGCTGTTTGCATAATCTTTGATGAACGGTCGGATTCTTGAGCGGTCGGATTTCGTTTGTTTATTTTTTGTTTGGTCGGTGGGTGATTGTTTTTTCGGCTCGTGGAAGGTTGTTTGTTTGATTTGTAGATGGCTGTGGTTGTTCTAGGTGTTG